ATACACACACACACATACACACACTCCCACAGAGAATGTATGTGTATGCATGTGTGTGTGTGTGTGTGTGTGTGTGTGTGAATGCATACTATTTATTTTGGGGAGGGAGGAGATGGGATCAAAATAACACATTCAGTAGATTACTACAATTTTTAATAAAAATCACATCATTCACTCCAGCCAGTAACTCCTCAAATATTTTTGGTGAAAAAGAAAGGGAGTTCTAAGACTGGCCCAGGTTACAAGAGGGTGAACCTAGTAGCTGAGAAAAGGTTAGATTATCTCCGACACAAGTAAAATAAAACCTGGTTTCCAAATCAGCTTCAAATTTTAAAACACAGAAATTTAAGTGGTCCCAGTGAATAAATAAGATGTCCCTGAAAATCCTGCAGTTCTGCCCATAGACACTGCACACGCTTCCCGTCTCTTACTTCCCTCCTGATTATTAACCGTCTTCTAAAAGCCTCAAGTGGTCCTTACCATTGCATTAAGCTGGGAGTTGCTCGCTTGCGTAATGCCTAGAATGTTGGTGGTATGCATCACTTCGACTGAAAAACTCGGCAGCCAACTCGCAATCCGGGACCCTAAAACAAACGAGAATCCAGCGCAAGTTTTAGAGACCCCTTTCCTTGTGTCATCTGCTCCACAGTCGGCCACTCTGTGATAGCAGCTGGTATCCACTGGGGCTACTTTATACCAAGCCTTTTGACCAAGTGTTCCAGGTATATTAGCTCAATTAATCCCCAATAAAACCATCTATTATTATTCCCATTTTACTCTTCTCAGAGATTTGACCCCAGTACTCTTATCGGTCCTCAAGGCACTAAGAAGTTATGTAATTTGCCAAAGATCACGCCATTTAATTATGGTGGCCAGGACTTGAAGCCGGTCAGGCTCCGGAACACTTCACTACTGGACTTTCCTGCTTTCCAGGGGCTCTGGATCCACACTAACTCAACCCACTCTCACAGCCTACACTATAAGGAAAGTTTTCAAGGTTCTAAAGCTGCTACACAGAGAAGGTTTTGCTCCTCTCCTTCACACTACTACTCATTTGGAGGCATATTTTCACGAAGAATTTTCTACTTAACAATCTGCTTTAAAGACCTTAGTTTTCTGCTTTAAAATTCTTTTCAAAGAGTTCTACAACACAGGCAGGTGGACTAACAGTACGGAGATTCTGCTGCTTCTGCCATTTCTCTAAGGAAAGGGGCTCCTAAGATGTACCACCACCACCAGGTCTCGGCATCAAGCCACACATCTAAGGAGAATTTTCCTTTCTTTCACAAAGAAGCACTGAGGCTCAAAATACAAAATAAGTTCAATGGCTGTCTCAAAGGTCTTGCCTGACAGATTGTGCCCAATAAAAAGCGAGATACTTATTTCATGTACTTACTAGGGAGAAATAAATTTGACTATCTATTTTGACTAAGTTTTCAGCAATAATTCATAAAATAATGATGACAAAGCCAGGACCAGTGTCCAAGATCTGCTACACTATTTCAGAAATTATACATGGTAGAGGCCTTAATTAAGAGCCACAGAGCAGCCCATCTACACCTGTCCAACATTCCTGGCCCAGCCAGCCAAGAAGCCATCATCGCTCCTCTCAGACAGCTGACTCCACTCCTCCCATCCTTTCTATCAGAGATTTTAATGTGCCACCACTCCCACCATGCTCCACCCTGAGAAACTCAAATCAGAGACCTGAGGAGCACTCCTCCTACTAAATAGCCCAGGGATACCTATTTTATAGTAAGAAATACGAACTCACAGAATTTAGTGGTATTAGAATTGATGAAAATCAACAACAGCCTGATGTAATGTGAATTAAAGAAGGATGATCAACCAGCCCCTGATATGGTGCCCATGGCCTTAGAGTTTTAAGTATGGTTTTATTACAACCCCTAGCAACATTCTGGAAGGTGGAATATTCATATTTTATGGACAACGGGTTCCAGTTCAGAATCTGCTTCTGGTACTCACCAGAAAGGCTACGCAATGACCATTATATGCTTAAGTATTAGACCAATGCAATAAATTATTAGCAATGGTTAACTTCCATTAAACTGATTAAGAGTGCTCCTTACAGGTACACTTGATTCAGTTTTAACTACTTCCACCTCCCCTCCTCCCCTCCTCCAAGTTCACACAGACTCTAGCAAAACGCCTGGCACAAAATAACCCCTCAGTGCTATCTACACTTAGTGAACATTTTCAATTAAAACTGAAATATAGTATTAAACTCACCCACACAGGGCAACTTACTAAGGGAAGAAAACCCCTTGGGCATGGTTTTAGAATTGAGACCAACTAACCGTCAAAGTGGAAGAAGTGATTGTGTTGGTTTAAGCGAGGTCTGCCTTCGGCTGCAGCTACAGGAACCAAATTCTCATCCAAGTTCTCTCCTTGATGGTCTTCCCTGACACGATTACTGTCAGCAATATTAAGAGACATCCTGCACGTTGGGCAGGAAGTGTCTTGTTCTAGCCAGGAACGAAGACAGGAGCTACCAAAAAGTCCAAAATAAGATATTCTTAGCATATTTTGTGAGAGTTCACCAGAAGTACCCTGAATATATCAGTATTATTGGTCATTAAAGAAATGCACATCAAAACCACACCCACTGGGATGGTTATTATCTAAAAAACTTAAAATGGCAAGTATTGATGAGGATGTGGAGAAACTGGAAGCCCTGTGCATTGTTGGTAGGAATGTAAAAATGGTGTAATCACTATGTTTAATTTTTTGACAAACCACCATACTGTCATTTGATCCAGGAATTCCATCTCTGGGTATACATGCAAAAGAATTGAAAGCAGGGTCTTGAAAAGACATTTCTACATCCATGTTCACAGCAGCAATACTCACAGAAGGTAGAAACTACCCAAATGTCCGTTGACAAATGAATGGATAAGCAAAATGTGATATATACACACAACAGAGTATTTTTCAGCTTTAGAAAGGGATGAAACTGACACATGCTCCAACATGGATGAATCTTGAAGCCATTATGCTAAATGAAATAAGCCAGACATAAAAGGACAAACACTCTGTGATGTGCTATTATGTGACAGTAGTCAAAGTCACAGAGGCAGAAAATAGAACGGTAGTTGCCAAGGGCTGGGGAGGAGTGGGGAATGGGGAGTTATTGTTTAATGGGTACAGAATTTCAGTTTAGGAAGCTAAAAAAGTTCTGGAGATGTACGGTGGTGATGGTTGCACAGCAATGTGAATGTACTTAATGTCACTGTACTGCACACTTGAAAACGGTTAAATGGTAAATTTCATGTTATACATATAAATATATTTTTTACCACAGTAAAAAGTTACATTTGAGAATTATCATTAAAAAAAAACACCATAATGAGAATCCACTTTCCACCAACTAGAATGGCTATAAGAAAAATAGAAAATAAGTATTGTTGAGGATATGAAGGAACTGGAACCTTCATATATTGCTTATGGGATGTAAAATGGTGCAGGTGCAGCTGCTGTGGAAATCTTGGTGGTTCTTTAAGAAGTTAAACACAGAATTACCCTGTGACTCAGCAAATTCCACTCCTAAGTATATACCCAAAAGAATTAAAAACAGGTACTCAGTAAAAACATACCTGTTCACAAATGTTGATAGCAGTATTATTTCCAATAGCTACAAAGTATAAATAGCCTAAATGTCCATCAATGGATGAATGGATAAACACATTGTTTAATTATTATAAAAAATATTTAAACTCAGCCATAAAAAGGAATGAAATACTGACACATGATACAAGTTGGATGACTTTAAAAGCTTTATACTTAGTAAAGAAGCCAATCACAACAAGTCACATATTGTATGATCCCTTTCATATGAACTGTCCAGAACAGGCAAATCCAGAGAGACAGAAAGCAGATTAGTGGTTGCCAGGCAATATGGGGAGGGAGGAATGGCAAGTGATTTTCTTTAATGAAGTGTTATTCTGGAGTGATAAAAAAGTTTTGAAACTAGAGAGAAGTGGTGGCTGCACAACACTGTGAATAAACTAAATGCCACTGAACTGTACGCTTTCAGATGGCTAACTGTATGTTGTCTGAATTCTGTCTCAATCAAAAAAATTAAATCCTAAAATTAATCTAATCATATGCTTGAAAAAATTTCTTCTGAGCTAAAATACACTCTTTTTCCCATTTGTTTTTGTTTTGTTTTGTTGGCGGAATAATTAGGTTTATTTATCTATTTATTTATTTATTATCATTTTTAAATGGAGGTACTGGGATTGAACCCAGGACTTAAATGCATGCTAGGCATGCACTCTACCACTGACCTATATACCCTCTCTCCCTGCTAAAATATACCCGAGTTATTCTTCCAAACTCTCTCCAAGCTCCTTAGTAACTAACTGAAAGTTTTTTGAGAAATGTATGTCTGGTCTTCCAACCTCAACAACCAGCACTGCTATCCATCCAGTTACACAGCTGCAAAACTAGGAGAATCACTGACACTTTATGTTCCTCACTTTCCCATGGCCAGTTATCACCACATGCTTCCTACTCCTTCTCAACATGCCCACTCCTCTCCAGCTCCACTTCCCCCACCACAGTCCACTTCCAAGGCACACCTGAACCACTGCAGCCTTTACTAACTAGTCTCCCTGAAACCCGTATTTGATCCCGAACCCCTACTTTAAAACCATCAATAGCCCTCAAAGCCCCTGCAGGCTCCAGCTCCTCCCTTCCCCTGCCTCAGGAAAAACCACTTCCCCCCGACATTCTGAGTTCCAGTCACACAGTTTCTCTTTTATTCCCTTCTGCTACAGAAACATTCCCTCTGTCTTAAAAGCACTCTTCCGCCCAATCCCTTCTTTTGCTGACTTAACTCCTACTCATTGTCAAGAGTTACTTCTCCAGATGTGAGTCAGATTCCTTTGTTACAAGTTCTCAAGAACCATGTTCCTTTTCTTTAAAGCACTAATCTCAATTTATACTTCCACATTCATAAACAGGCTGGTTAATCCATGTTAAATGCCATTAGGCCGTAAACTTCATGAAAGCAAAGACCGTATCTGTCATTTTTATTTTATTCCCCAGAACCCAACACAGCACCCAGCACATTAAAAAAATAAGTCAATAAATTTGTCAAGTTACTAATACTCTAGCTCCAAAGCCCTTCTAATATTAAAAAAGGAGAAGAAAAATTATCTGGAAATATAAAATAAAGGAAGATTAAAGACGCAAAGATTATAACTTTCTCAATATGCAAAACTGACCAGAGATGCAAAAGGCCAAAAGATAACTCAAGGTCCATCAACACCAAAAATATCCAGTCTAAAAACAGAATGATTTAGATCCCTGTAAAAATGACTAATGTAAGGCAGTAAGGACTGCAACAGTATTAGCCTATATCACACACATATCTATCTAATACAGTCTTGACGGTTTTCAAAAGATCCCTTTTTATAATTCTTGGTACCACAGTCACAGTTCTTCTGGACTGCTCAGCGTTTCTGGTCTAATCTCCACCTCAACACATTTCCCTGGTGTGTGTTTTTATGTTGCTATTGGGCATATGCAAAATGCAAAAATATATATTCTCTCATCCCAATTAGGGAATAAGCTGTTTGAAAGCAAGGATTCCCTTATCCTTTTCTTTCAAGTCTTACAGGCATAATTTGCTATACCTCAGAGCTTAAATGAAGAAGGAATATGAAGATAGTTAACATTTCCAGAAATTAAGACGGCCACTGTGAGCGGGGAACAGTCCTGCAGTGCAAGGAAGAGGCTGAGGAATAAGGAAGACACCCCAAAGCTCCCCATTCTACTCTCCCACTCAGTAACAGCACCATATCCAGTCTGAAGGAAGGTCCCCACTCCTCAACCAGGGTTGGTCTTAAGCCCAGGCACAAAAAGCACCCACATGCCCTGGACAGAACACCAGTTTCATGGGGCCCTTCACAAAGCTCCTACTTGTGGAAAAGATGACCACAAGGCAGCTTCCTTGCAGCCTGCATGGAATCCCAGCAGATGGCACAGTCATCGTTATTGACAGCCAGCTCCTCTGGAGTTGCAACCGCAAACCTGTAAAAAACAAAATGCATCCGGCAGGGATCTCTGTCAATTACACACACAAACAGTGACCATCACTTCATAGACTTCACCTTCCTAACAGCGCAGTTACGGAGGAACTGTGTTCAGTAAAAAATCTCCACCATGCGTTCTCTTCATAGCCCATCAAAGAGCAAGTAAGAAACCCATACACAGAAACTAACTTTGTCTTAACAATGGCTCCTGTTAGCGATGACCTGACAGAATATTTCTGGGTAAATCAAAGGCATTAAGGCCCCCAGAGAGCCAGACACAAAAAAGATACCTGTTAATCTAACACTTTCAGGTTTGGTTTAGCATCAGGTTAGCCTCAGGGTGGTATGTGAATGATTCCTCCAGTGAGGTTAAGGGTGTGTGCACGTGTGTGTGTGAGTGTGTGTGTGTGCGTGAGAGAGTTTGTGTGTGTGTGTGTAAATATGCATGTGTAAGGAATAAATTAAAAGGGCAGAAGCCCAAGAAAACTTCCTTTAATAATAATGGTGATAAAAACAATGACCTAATAAAAGAACCTAATTATTTACTGAGCGCGTACTAGGTACGCAGTACTATTCTAAGTATATTTCGTTTATTATCCCTTTGAATCCTCCCAACAGTTCAAGGAAGAAGGTTCTGCTATCATTCCTAGATATAACCAACTGGGGCATAGGGAGGTAAGTAAATTGCCCAAAACCACATGGCAAGTAGGTGGGGATCCATACCCAGGTAACCTGACTCCACAGCCTATGCTCTTCACCATTCCATTGAGAGTTTACAAAAGCAGGTGCTCATATAATCTGGGATCTGTTATTATTAAACATCTAAAATGAGCCAACGTCAGCGACGTCCACTTGTGCCCGCTTACCTGGCTTCCATGTTTCCAACCACTCGTAAATAGTTCTTGTGCCGGCGGATTCGACGCTGCACCTCATGAAACAGGTAACGCAGCTGCATAAAGATGACTAAGCTGGCCATGGATAACCAGATGTTGCCAAATAACTTAACAAGAGGGAAAGAAAATAAAACACACAATAAAAATGATTGTGAAATTACTAGCACTGAGGGTGAGGTATGCAACAGAGGCTTTTAATTGTTAGTGAAGGTGAACTGGAACAATCTTTTAGGAAGCAAGTGCATACATTTATCTCATTAAACCAACAATGTACATGCTCTTTGGCCTAGTCATTCCATCACCAGCAATCCTCCAGAGGAACTAATGAGAAATTTTAAAGCTTTATGCAAAATGATGTCCATCCATGCAATTATAAAAAAGAAAATCAGGAAACGGAAGAATGCACAGTAGGGGGATGGTTAGGTTGTAAACTAATGCAGTATTGTATAGTCATTAATTATATTTACTATAAAATATAATTACATATTAATATTTTACATATAACATTTTGAAGGCTAATTACATGGGAAAATAATTTTTGTTAAGTAGAAAAGGATAAAAGTACTTAAAAAAACTAGTACGTGACAAAAGAAAATTATGTGACGATGTGAAGCAGAAAACAACTGAATACAATCTAAATACTCCACTATGGGGGCTGGTTAATTAAATCATCATACCTCTATGTGGTGGAATTTTTATCTTAAAGGCATTAAAATGATACAGAAGAACTGTTGCTAGCAAAAGATGTACATAATACACGAGCTACAAAAACACTATGAACTATATGCCCAATATATGATCTCAATTTATGAATGTATAATTTGAATTTGTAAAGCAGCAGTAGACACAACAAATGTCAACAGTTATCTGTGGACATTTGTTTAGGGAGCCTTTAAAACTATGTTTTCAAAGTTACTGTTAAAAAGTAGACTTAGAAACATGCTGTGTTTAACTCAATAATTTTTAAATGCTACTTTGGTAGGCTTACAATTTAAATAAAGTGTCCACCAAATATACCAAATATGTTGATTCTCACCATTCTTAGATCACTGAAGTGCTAACCAGTGTAGCAGGTTTTCAGCATAGTGATTTCTTCCACACCAGAGTAAAATGTAAACAATGAAGTAGGAGGAATCAAGTATAAAGACTTTGTTTTTCATTACAAAGATGGGAAATTTAAGAATCCATGAAGTAGCTAACACTGAGGGAACTCCCATTACTACCTACAAAGTAACTGCTAAATATTAGAAGCCATAGAAACTATGAGAGGAATTCCCTTAATCTCATGCTAAAAGAATTATCTATTGACTTGGTTGGTAGAGTTAACTAAGTCGAGGAGGATGACGGGTACCAGCCAAAGTGGTTCCACACTGCTTTACACCTAGCAGCAAAAAGGGTGGGGGCACAGCTGCATCATTATTACAGTCTTTAAATGAGTGATCCACAAATGTTCTGTTTATTAATATACTAAATAGGGTTCCTGATTCTGAAAAAGTTACCTCTCTGTTAAAGCCCCTTCTGGGAAACTTACCAACATGTGAATATGGTGCATGAGGTCCAGGGACAAGAGAGTGAGCTCCATGACAAAATCCGTATAATAGACATATGTTCCCTTTCCTTCCCATGTCCCTTCATGGTTGAGGTCCCACAGGTGAATTACATATCTGCAGTGAATAGAGAAGAATCATGTTAATGATTTACTGTTACAATTGAATTTGGCTCAAACATGATATAATACAGTCACATTTTTACGTATTTTATAAATGGTTTATCTTGAAATCACCTGTATGAGTACACTTCAGTCACCTCCCTCCCAAATTTCTACTCACCGTAAAATCACATGAGCAGTCCTCACTGTTACAAGAAGAGACTGAAAAAAGAGACAGATTTTATCTTTTTAACAAAATTTAGGATTGCTCAGACTAAACTTACTTTACAAGACGATAAAAGACAAACATTTCTCAGTTCAATTAAAAAGCAGGTTGTTCAATGCTGGGGGGAAGTACTGAAGGAAGTTAGTCAAAAGGTACAAACTTTCAGTTATAAAATAACTAAGTAATAGGAATGTAAGATACAACATGATGACTACAGTTAACAGTGCATACGGTATACTTGAAAGTTGTGAAGAGAGTAGGTCCTAAAGGTTTTCACTACAGGGAAAAAAACATTTTTTTCTTTTTCTTTTTGTATCAATACAAGATGATCCTTACTGTGGTTATCATTTCACAATAAATGTAAGTCAAGTCATTATGCTGTACACCTTAAACGTATAAAGTGTGCTATACATCAATTCTATCTCATTAAAACTTGAAAGGGAAAAAATGCAGATTGTTAAGTTTACCACCCATTTTATTTCCATAGAATATTTTCATGACCTAAAAACCCAACTTTTACTGAGCCTTTTCCTGTTAATAGGTGACAACCAATTATACCTGTCCATCTCCCAGGGATGCCTTCTACAATCTTGAGAGTCACTCCAGTAGTCTGAAATTACTTCTATTTCATACAGCATTAAGTCACCATAACTGACTATCCTAAGAGGGTGCCTGAATATTTGGTGACCCCATACCTAAGTATAGCTTAGGTACTACCATCCTAGAAATGAGTACCTGTTCTCTACATAACACTTTCCACACAGAAGAAAATATGATGAAAGAAATAAAAAATAAGTCCCTCATGGTATTTTTGTATTATAGAAATTGATGTTAAGAAAAATTTCCTCTTAATTTTGCAGAATAGAACTGTTATATTCTTTATGTTTGAGATCAGGAAACTCCCATTTACAATGGAAAATATTTAAATAGAAGAGAAACACTATAAATGTAAAAATATGACAGTTCAAAATATTGAATCTATAACACGATAAATTACCTTTTAAAACGTTACTGAGCTAAAATAAAAATATGTACTAACCCAACAGGCCTAATTTAAATGTCTTTATTTTTAAATATATGTTTTTCAAAGTCTGGCCTAATAGTAATTAAAAGGTAGAGAACCAAAAAAGGAAAACACAATATGAAATGGTGACTTATAACAAAATATATCTAAAGCAAACTAATATAAGCCAGAGTAAACAAATTTTAAGCAGATTTTTTTCTCAAGAAGAAATACATTTGTGTATCTTTCATATATAGAAACTATTCAACTAGGATTGTAAATAATTTTACTAAGGACTTAAATGTTCTTTTCTAATTTTACTTACACTACTATATTATACTCTGAAATGAATACTATTAAGAGCAAAATAAATTTTAACCCTATTCTAACAAATTCCCAATTAGTAATTCCATTAGTGTTTTTATATTAACCATCTATTGATATTGATATTAGATATCTATTATTTTATTTTTTTCATTAATAACAGCAATTATGGGCAAAATAAAAGTATTTTGACTCAGGAAAAAAGCAAATATAGCCACTGAATATAAAGGATATATAACAATTTTGATTTCTACTGAAAAGAAATTAGTATTTTCAAAAAGGTTGTTAAAAGTAAAATTCAAAATATACATGAATCTCTCAAATTATTCTTTCAAAATAATGAACATAGTTTACATATTTATTATATTACTCTGTAAAATCTTAATTTATGCCCTATATAAAAATACCAATTATAGAGTATGTCCTTATAGACCAACACAAATCACTGGTTACAGTATCTTCCTACTTGGAAGCCACAGAATTAGGATTGTACTACTTCTGCCACCTCAGACCTTTAAGCAGTTCACTTCATCCTCTATGCCTGTGTCCCCAATCATAAAGAGGAATAATAAAATTAACCAATACATGTAAAGTATTTAGAACAATCCCCAGCAGATAGTAAGCACTATATAAATGTTGACAAAAATAATTAGTTGACCCTGGGGCAATGCAGGGGGTAATTTGAGTATAAACTATAGTCAGCCCTCCACATCCAGTTCCTCCGCACCCGTGGATTCAACCAACCAGGGACTGTGTAGTACTGTGGTATTTACTATTGAAAAACATCCACGTATAAGTGGACCCACACAGTTTAAACCTGCATTGTTCGAGGATCAACTGTATTTTTTATTAGGTTGTAGCAAGGATTACATGAAACTACACACACAAAAGCATTCAGTACCAACGCCCAATACAAAACAGAAGATTGCTTATTACATGAAAGACCAGATACCCATCAGTCACTTCATGGTGAAAATAATCTGTCAATAATCCTCTAACTTCCTTGAAAATATACAGGAATATAATTAGAGCAAAAACTTGTGTCTGCATCTTACCTCTGCAGCCATGAAAGCCAACGTGTGCATCCCATGGGTGTAGCCTGTGACACAACAGACAACCGCTAACCCACAGCAGGAAAGCAGCATGGCAATCAATAGAGACAGAACTCGACCGTGGCTACTCATCGGTGTGGTGGGGGAAAAAGAGAGCTGAAATGTACAAAACAGAAGAAGGAAGCTCATTTTTCTGTGCAGTAGTGCTAAACTTCACTGAGAAACTCAAGGTTAACCTTGGTGTCTTAGGTCTGTGCTTAGCTGTGTGGCCAAATGCAAAGCACAGAAGAGTGTCCCATTATCAGATGGTTAAAATTCTCCAACTAACAGAAATATGAGCTGATGTTTTGAGATCTTTACCATTTAATTTATGGAATATAACAATATACGTTATATTTTCATCTCAAATTTTCAAGGATCCCCCTACCAGTGAGATTATAAGCCTCTAGAAACAATTTGCCAAAGGTATGTAACTTTGTCTTCTAGCATTCAACAGGACACGGGACAGCACCACATTCTCTTGTGTTCTCAATCTTGCTCTAGCCCTGCTACCCAAAAGTCACTTGAGAGGACATTCCTAGCCTGTTCACGGCCAGTACAACTGAAATATAATCCAGGTGCAGATTTACTACTATCATAATGCTATGTTAATAGTATACAAAGAGAGGCAACACCTTGGAAAAGGAGGCCTGGAGTTTCGACTCCCAAGCATGAAAGTGTAGATACCAAATCAGTTACAAAGGTTAGAAGCTCCTGTTCATGACTGCAATGGGGGATGAACTGTGAAACAGCTCAAGGCTTTGAGCCTAAGATTAGCTTTGCACAGAGGTGCAAGGACCACCTGGTGTGAGGTCCATAAGGATTGGGTAAAGAAGGGGGAAAACAGAGCTGCGGAGTGGGTTTAACTCAGGGTAGGACTGTATGTAGGTGCCTGTTTACCTGGGATCCATTAGATTAGTTTGGGGGCACTAACGAGTGAAGATTCACCTGCACAGCTCTGATCCCAAGCCAAGGGGCAGATCTTGTACCCAGATAGAAAAAGATTCAGCTCTCCAGAGATCAAGGAAGCCAAGACACGCTACTTCAGTCCTTGTCCAGGGATGGAAACAATGTAAACTAGTCAGAAAGAAGGGCTCCAAATATTAGATTAAGAATGGGGAAAATGGAAGGAGATTACAACAGAAAATATCTGGAAAAGACCAGCTTTTTTTCAATTTATATAATAAGGTTTCCTTACACTGTGATCAAATTAGTTTGTATTGGTTCAGTGACCCCACAGGGTCTGCAATGCAATACTATTGGAGCAGGAAGGAAGCCTCCCTAAGAGACACAGACCCTGCCTTCCTTTGATCCTGCTGCTGGAGAAAGTTTCTCAAGAAATAAGCAGTAGGGGCCCAATCCAAGAGCTTTCCCCTGGAGGGCTATCCTGCATATGTGTGTTATGGCTCATTCATATTACACAGTTCAGACCTGGCAAATATGTGACCAAGTAGGAAAAGAGCTTGGCTAAAAACTCACATATTCAAACCGGTCCTTGCAGAGCTGAACCATCAGATGCAGAAATACCAGTCCAGCAAACCAGAGGCACCACATGACCACTTCTTCCACTGTCTGGACATTCAGCACACCAAAAATGAAAATGAACTTGTAGAAAATAAAATTCCAAAACTTGTCTTTGAGGTGCTAAAAAGAAAAATATTTATAAAGGTGAGTACCATTACACCTAACTGATTTAAAAGAGTACCATTATAACTAACTCATAACAAAAGCTGGCTTCTATGGAGAAAATATTCTCTACTTCCTAACACTTGTCCACAGAAAATAGAAGACAAAGAAAAAAATGAGCCCTCTGAAAAATAAAAGACCCTAGAAAATAACCTATAGACTCTGTAACTTGTATTTTGTTTTGTTTTGTTTAGGGTAAGTGGTAACTAGGTTTATTTATTTACTTATTTTTTAAGTGGAGGTACTGGGGATCGAACCCAGGACCTTCTGCATGCTAAGCAGGCACTCTACCACTGAGCTATCTCCTCCCCCTCTGGTCACTCTAGATTGAATTCTTCAGTCAGTTATGAAATTTTAGCCACTAAAAGGGGGAATTATATTAGTTTAGTACCTTATGTATTAATAATAATACATATATTTCCAACACACACAAAAATGGTGACAGCTACAAGTATCATTTCTAATATTTGTGTTCTCTGGATTCCTAAAACAAGCAAAACATTAGATATTCTTTTTTTAACATCCTTCAGATTAAAATATGACTATGCTCATTTGACAGCCAAAATCAATAATATATGAAAAAGTACAAAGAAAATAAAAATGATGCCTTGACATTTTTATGCATTTTTCTTCCTAAGTGTAAAACATTAATTTTTTATTATTTTATTGAAGTATAGTTGACTTACAATGGTGTGTTAGTTTCAAGTGTACAGCAAAGTGATTCAGTTATACATTTATATATATATTCTTTTTCAGATAATTTTCCACTATAGGTTGTTATCAAATATTGAATATAGTTTCATATACTATACAGTAGGTCCTTGCTGTTTATCTATTTTATATATAGTAGTGTATACATGTTAATGCCAAACCCCTAATTTATCCCTCCCCCCTTTTTCCCCACTGGTTACTGTAAGTTTGTTTTCTATGTCTGTGAGTCTATTTCTGGCTTGTAAATAAGTTCATTTGTACCATATTTTTAGATTCCACATATAAGTGATATATTTGTCTTTCTGTTTAACTTCACTAAATACGATCATCTCTAGGTCCATCCATGTTGCTGCAAATGGCATTATTTCATTCTTTTTTATGGCTGAGCAATATTTCATCATTTACCACATCTTTATCCATTCATCTGTCGATGAACATGTAGGTTGCCTCCAAGTCTTGGCTATTGTAAACAGTGCTGCTATGAACATTGGGGTTTATGTATCTTTATTATAGTTTTCTCTGGATATATGCCCAGGAATGGGATTGCTGGATCATATGGTAAGTTTATTTGCAGTTTTTTAAGGAACCTCCACACTGTGCTCCATAGTGGCTGCACCAATTTACATTCCCACCAACGGTGTAGGGAGGCTCCTTTTTGTCCGTACCCTCTCCAGCATTTTTTATTTGTAGACTTTATAATGATGGCTATTCTGGCTGGTGTGAAGTGATACCTTATTGTAACTTTGATTTGCATTTCTCTAATAATTAATGATACTGAGCATCTTTTCATGTGCCTGTTGGCCATCTATTTGGAGAAACGTCTGTTTAGGTCTCCTGACCATTTTTTTGATTAGGTTGTTTATTTTTTTGATATCAAGTTTCATGAGCTGTTTATATATTTTAGAAATTAATCCCTTGTTGGTCACATCTTTTGCAAATATTTTCTCCCATTCTGTAGGCTGTCTTTTCGTTTTGTTTATAGTTTCCTTTGCTATGCAAAAAGCTTTTAAGTTTAATTAGGTCCCATTTGTTTATTTTTGCTTTTATTTCCATCACTCTAAGAGACGGATCCAAAAAAATACTGCTGTGATTCATGTCGAAGAGTTTTCTGCCTATGTTTTCCTCTAGTAGTTTTAGAGTATCTGGTCTTACATTTAGTTCTTTAATCCATTTTGAGTTTACTTTTGTATATGGTGTTAAAGAATGTTCTAATTTCAGTCTTTTACACGTAGCTGTCCAGTGTTCCCAGCACCACTTATTGAAGAGATTGTCTTTTCTCTGCTGTATATTCTTGTCTCCTTTGTTATTGATTAATTGACCGCAAGTGCGTGGGTTTATTTCTGGGTTTTCTATCTTGTTCCATTGATCTGTGTCTGTTTTTATTCCAGGAGTATACTGTTTTGATTACTGTAGCTCTGTAGTATAGTATAGGGAGCATGATTCTTCCAGTTCTGTTCTTTCTCAGGATTATTTTGGCTATTCGGGGTCTTTTGTGTTTCCATACAAAAAAATTTTTGGTTCCAGTTCTGTGAAAAATGCCATTGGTAACTTGATAGGGATTGCACTGAACCTATATATTGTTATATATATTATTATATGTTATATGTTATCATTTTATATATATATAACAATTTTTGTACACTGTTTTATTTCACTTACATTGTGAGAACCTTACCAATATGAATGAATAATCTCTGAATATATTATTTCAGTGGTTACAAATGGACACTGAAATGTTTTTAATTTTTCACTGTGCAGAAAATGTCACAATGAGTATCTTTGCACAGGTTTCTGTTTTTTCAGCATTATGGAATCCAAGGTTACAAATGTTGTTATGGTTTCCAACAAGTAACATCCACCTGATTTCAAAAGAAGTGATATAAATGTATACTCCCACAAGCAACACTTAAGTATATCTGCTTTCCTGTACTCTTCCCTATACTGAATATGTCCAGTTTTTAAAATCTTTACTATCCTGAAAAAAATGGACCATGAGGGGCATCTAGCCAACAGATATTAAAACATACCCTCAAGCCATCTGTGGGAGTGGTGGGAATCAAGTACAGAGGACAAGGATGAAAACATGGTTCCTAAGTATACTTTCATATATAATGCCTAACCATGTAAATGTCTCACAAATCCAAAAACTTAAAATAGAAAAAAAAAGCAAAATTGAATAAAAACAGAAATAAGTGAACCTAAATATAGAAATAACAACCTACATTTGGAACAAATTGATAAGATGACCACTTAAAGAATTATTTGGAGAAATGTTACACACTGTACTTCAACTGTACACTTTGTTCAAAGAATAAAAAAAACTAGGAATCCTTGGTGAATGTCTGTTTCCAGATCTGGGGTGGGAAAGCATGAGGTGAACACAGAACTTTCTGTGCCCTGATTATGAACTTTTACTCCACCATCTATGTGCCATATGGCTTTGGGCAGGTCACTTAACATACCTGTGCTCTGGTTTCCCATCCATAAGATGGGTCTTGTAACAACAGCATATCACAGAATAGTTGGGGGAACAAGTAAGTGAATATATGTACACTGCTTAGATAAGTGCCACAGTAGGTATTAAGTGCATAAAAAAATTTCCTTGTTCTAAACTTCCACTCAACAGTTTAATATTTGTACCATTTTAGGTATTAAATGTTTCTGCCTCTAGACATTCTAGACACTTTATTTCTTGAACTTTGAGAACCCACAAAGCAAACTCATATTGATTCTGTAGGGTTCTAACTCAAAATGGTGCTTTAAATGCTACTGGATGACACTGGTCAAAAACAGTCATCACAGAACATGAAAGACATGATCTATACTGAAAAAACTGAAAGTAGAGTTGAGTAGCAACTGTGCCAATTATGATTACCTCCAGGTATATTTAAAAATCTCTGTAATACTCCCAAGGTTATGTTTTCTATACATTTTCAACTGATATTTAACATTTTTAGAAAAAGGAAGCAGTATGTATGAGAGTAATGTTCAAGTATCAGACCCTCTCACTTGAACACTGCTTGTAGAAATGGGGAATCTTAATTTACATTTCCAGAGGGAAAAACTAAAATCTCTCAGTAAATTCCTTTGGGAAAAAAATCCATATTCTAAGAGTGATATATATGATTATTTAAACTAAAACAAAACTGAGCTTGTTTAAAAATTACCTCATAGACGTCATGGGAAAGAGCTATGAAGAAAAATATTGGGACAACCTGGCTATGTTGACTATGGACTACATGGACTATGGATCACATAAAGTATTTTATCAATGCTAAATTTCCTGATTTTGATCATTGTGCTGTGGCTACTTAAGAAAATGTCCTTGCTTTTAGGAAATACATACTGAAGTATTTGAGGGTACAGGGGTATGATATCCACAATTTACTCTCAAACAGATCAGAAAAAATACATACATATAAATAAAAGGTACATATTAGATCAAATGGGACAAAATGGTAACAATTCTGAATCTGGATAAAGGCTACACAAAAGTCTTTCAAAGTATTCATGCTACCTTTCTGTAAGTTTGAAATTATACCAAATATAATTTTTTTTTAATCTGGTGACAAGAATTCATCTTTGCTATTGGACTTACCTGTCTTTCACTCACTCGAAGAGGGCCAAACACAATACATTGGATTAGCTTAGCCACCAACATCAAAACACAGCAAGCAGTATTTACTAGAACCTGTACACAAATCAAAGAAAAGAAATTAATTTCCTCTTGTTGAAAAATAAAAGCAGTTCTTAAAATTTTTATATTAGGAATTCAGCCATCATTTCTACTGATTGAGCCTTTCTAATTTTCTACCAGTACAAGACAAGTAATATTTGAACGTACACACTTTTATGGGTGGCAGAGGTAGGGATGAGGAGTGGGGAGGAGAGGCACCAGCTTATTGGCTAATTCACAGAGCCCTGTCCCAACATGTACCCTCCAGCAGGCCACCTTCCCCTGAGTCTTAATTCAACTGTTTGTAACCTTGGTACTGCACGTATAAAACTGTGTGCACCTTATAAAACCATAGGTATCTCCAAGATACATCATTTCCTACAATACAGTTTTGATAGTTTAGAAGAAAATTTTTCAGAAAAATGAAGTTACCATGAACAGTAAAATCCAGAGCCCAAACATCCTGCCCTGCCCTGTCAAATAAATAGACGTGTAAAGGAGGGTGGATAGTCACAAAGAAGTCACAAGACCATGAAGATTTCAGAATCCATATAACAAGAATACATATAATAAGAATACATACATATAATTAATTGCAATGGGACAATCTGCAAACTGAAAGATATTTATGGTTAGTGTTGGCCTCAAAGGTTCTGGGGCATTAGAGGGGAGTGGAATTAAGAAAATAGTAAGAAAATTGACAGGAGGGGCTAAAGGAGAACTAAAAGGCAACCATGAGACACCAATATAAAACTAAGGCCTTCTTAACCAGTAAGCAGGAAACTTTCTCTTTCTTAGTAATTAAGAGATGGATCTCCTTAACACCTACACAACAAATCTAAAGCTTACAAAATGAAAACATGGGCTGCCCCTGACTTAGGCTAGTGTGGCACATCACATTACAATGCTCAGATGATTTTTAAAACCGCACAACCAGAAAAAGCCAAAAGGACCCTGATAAAGATAGTAAAGATGACTATTAAGAGCAAATGAAAATGAACAGCAACCCAACATAGAGCCTGCTTCAATCTCTGATTCACTAAGTTTATAGGAAGGTGGCCATATTCCTCTTCCCAGGTCATTCTTACCTCTGCTTTTAAAAGAATCAAATGATATTTCAAAAATAAGTAAATCTAGATAAACAAGTTTATACTGTATAGCACAGGGAACTATATTCAATAGCTTGTAGTAACTTATGGTGAAAAATATGAAAACAAATATATGTATGTTCCTATATGACTGAAGTATTGTGCTGTACACCGGAAATTGACACAACATTGTAAACTGACTATACTTCAATAAAAATGTGTTAAAAATAATTAATAACTTAAAAATAAAAATAAGTAAATAGAGGAAGGTGACAGATGAGATTAATATAAGAAAACAAGGTCCCCAAGAAATCTTCAAGGTCCCCTTGGTGCTACATACCATACAGCCCTTTGGTATTCCTGATACATTATACATAATGGCAATTCATCAAAAAAGATTAAATTATGTTTAGTTACATTCTGCCTGCCTCATGGGGCAGGGGAAGTGTATGATATATTTTTAAAGAACTGAAACAAAAACTGTTCTGCTGAAAAATGAGACTGTTCTGATAATTAAATCATTCAAATAACCAGAAAAAAACCCAAATTAGTTATCCAAAACATCCCACTTCCCTAACTTATGACTCCCTGTGGAACAGCACTAATGAAAACATTCCAGCAAATAGCATAGAATACTAAATTTTAAGGAGATGAAAAGATGCTTAAAAGGCTCATCTTCATTCTGCTCTAAACCAGCTAATGGGAACCCCAGTAATACTAATTAAGAAAAAATATAATGAGATAAAATCACACCCCAACTCCTCATGCCATATCCTCCAGCTGAACAGGATTTTTAAAATCAGCCAAACATCCACCAGCCTAATTTAGTTTTAAAATTCTTCCTGTTTTTGCAGGTAGGCATATGAAATAAAGAAATAAATTCAACACATTTAGCACCAATTTGTTCAAAGCATGTGGGAGGTTAAGAGAAATGAGGGCAATATGGACCCTGCACTCAAAGAGCTTTCAGAAGCTACAGGACACAGCACTTGGTAAGCATCTAACAGACCAAGTTGGTTGCTGTGAGAACAACAAAGGAGAAATCAAATTTAGGGCCACTTAATCATTTCTCTGCCCTAAGGAACAGTCTCTTGCATCTTGGGTTACAAAGTAAGAAACAAAGTATTATTTCTCAGTTAAAAATTTTTTTTAATTTTTTCTAAGTTCAAAAATGAGGTATAAAGGGGGAGGGGGTGGGAAGGGACAGATTGGGAGTTCGAAATTTGTAGATAAGACAGGTATATATAGAATAAATAAACAAGATTATACTGTAATATATACAAGATTTTGTGGCAGCTTATGGTGAAAAAGAATGTGACAATGAATATATGTATGTTCATGTATAACTGAAAAATTGTGTTCTACACTGGAAATTGACACAACATTGTAAACTGACTATAACTCAATAAAATTTAAAAAAATGAAGTATAAAAATTTTGTACCTTTGATTGACCAAAAAAAATGAAAGTCCCTCATAATCCCATCACCGGTAGATAACCATTTCCCATTTCAATTTAAACAGAAGATTTAAAAATTAGCAAGGCTAAGAAGGAAAAGGCTTGAGAAAGTAAACTGATATTAGAAAGGGATATTAGAAAGAGATAACCTTTCGTGAACTTTACATGAAAGCAAAGCTAGAGAGGATTGGAAGCAACTAAAAATTATTTTAGGATTACAAAGTGTTTTTAAAAGCAACTCAATTATTAGTAACTATTCTATGTCTATTTTTAGAAATATGTCTTAATTTCACAAATAATTGTCATTACAATAAAGATACGATAAATTCTCAATTTTAAAATTAACAAAGGCTTGAAAAATTGCAAATATGGAAAGAAAAATAATTGTAGCATTCCTCATTTAAAAGCAAATCCCAAATTAGATCCCACTAGGTCACCAGCGACAGTCTTACAGAAACAACACTTCAGTCCATATTTAAAGCCACAGAACGGGGACAAAACTTCTCACCTCCAATAATCAAAATGAGGCTTACCTCCAGCAAGCCTAGTCTGAACTTCATCCTTGTAGACCACAGTAAAAGTACTAACCTCATTTTATTTGCTGTATACAGTTAATTAATGTTTCCTTGTGGGCAGAATCCAAACTTAAATATAAGTAAATCTAAGTATAAGGGGTTCACTGAAGCACTGTTTATAATGGCAGAAAAATGGAAAACAAATGTCCAACAGGGAGACTAGTTCAATAAACCGTAAAGCAGCCATTCAATGGAATACAATGAAGCCAGGAAAACTAACTCAGCAGTTCTACATTTCCTAGTGTTATATAGAACCTGCAAGATAACTTGTTCACTGAAAAAAAAGCAAAGTGTAGAAATGTGATTACAATGCTAACTTCTGTGTGGAAAAATCTAGATGTTTGTATCATGTGTAGATGTGAACTATGTCAAAGACCTGATCAATCTGGATATTTCTTAGTCTTCTACTTAACACCAGCACTAATTACAAGAAATTGGTAATGGCCACTTCTTGGGAGGGAAGGCGTAGCAAGGAGGGAGGTTTACTTTTCACCGCATTATCACTTGTGTACCTTTTGACTTTTGTACCATAGAACACGCATTATTTTTTTTAACAAAATTTTTAAAGTTTGGAATCTATTAAACTAACCCGACCAATTCTGAAGTTTCACATTATTTTTCTCATTCTATGATGGGAGATGGATAAGTAATAAACCCAAACTGGATAGCCTAAGTCTCAAGTTAACCTGTTTCAATACACAGTATTTCTACTATATTAAAATACTTAAGAAAAGTTCTTCGTATCTATAGCAGTGTAAAAAGAACTTTAAATAATTTTTTAAACCTCACCAAATGCCTTTATTTATTTATTTTTTTTTACTAGTTGACACAAAATAGAAACAAGTTTTGCTTGTCCCTGAGCAGCCTTAACAGAACAGGTCAGGTAGTAGTGACCAAAGGAACCCCTACTTAATCAGGCTTAAAGTAATTCCTTTTACTCTGAGGCCCTATGAGAAAACTCTCCTCTCTGTTCTACTGTTCTACTCTAGAAAACAGAAACTAAGTTATAAGATAGCTTGGCCTGAGGCGAGGAGAATGTTAACAAACAGCTTAGCCACATTTATCACTGTGTAACCCTGGAAGTATTTTTGATCCTGTAAAATGCTGGCCACCAATGGGGTATTATTTATGACCTTGTGATAAAATGTGCTTAACTACCAGGAACTGTTCCAAGAATATGATCAACATGGATAATACTTAGTCTCCTACTTAACACCAGCACTAACTATACCTCCCCACACCATTTATTAGTCTCCTCCTTTTAAGGACAATTGGAATGATACTTTCCTGCAGGCTCCCAGTGACAAGTATAAAATGCTAATAATGCAAAGATGCATACTCCCCTTTATTACATTGATGACTGCGTTCCTCTTTCCACACCATTAGGGAAATAAGTGAGATTGTGTATACAAAGCACACAGCACACACCTAGCAAGCAATCAAATGGCAGTCGCCTTCCCCTCACTCTGAAGATTTTTCCTATATTTTTAAGTTGTTTATCTAGGCTTATATCCTATTATTTACAAGTTTAGTCTTTTTCTTCAGCTGTCCTAACATTTCTGGAGCTAACATTTTTCTCTAATCTTCTTTGGAATACTCATCTCAGAAAGGCCCAAACCCAGTATGTTACTTTCAGTCCTCAAGTTGTATAATTAAGTGAAGATGGACTCTTTTAAAGCAGAAGTCAGAAACTTTCTCCCTAATGGGCTATCAGATAGTAAATATTTTAGGCTCCAGTAGGCCACATGCTCCCTATCACATGCTCTTCCTTTTAAAAAAATCTTTTTAAAAATGTAAAAACCATTATTAGCTGATAGGCCAAATAGGCCGGCACGGTTTGCCTATCCCTGCTCTCAATGGTCAGTATACTTTTACTCATTTTCGTTTTTGGTGACTTTTTCCCTTGACATTTCTATTTGAACTATTTTATTTGCATATAATTAAG